TGCTTCTTTTACCTTTTGCCCATTTTCTAATCGGATTATGTGTCTTAAAATATTTTACTGTTCAGTTTTAACATAGACTCTTTTGTTTTTTTAAAGCAAATTGGAGATAGGCTTCTGTTACTTGCAATGTAAGACTCACAGGTGGCCGGCTTTGTATTTAATGGTGAATACTGAAGAGTGCCTGCTGCAGCCGCGGCACAGTCGGGAGGAGTTTATATGTGTAATCCCAGGAAAAAGCTATTGGAATTCTAGCAAGTAAATTTCAGTCTACCGCTTCTAGTGCAATCCATAGTGAGAATAAAAAGACAAACACATATCTGCAGTTGTGGGGAGTCAAGGGGTCCTAAGTCCAGTCAGAATGATGGCTGACTGGAACAAAGGCCACAACCCAGGGCCGAACTGGGTTTTATCAATTTGTGAAGAGGGGAGTGGCTGAGGGTTGAGTGACTGTGAGAATGGCAAGAAGTACCTGAGTGCTGTGAGCTGGGCTAGGTAGGAGGCACAATAACACCTCTGCAATATACAGAGAGAGCTATTTCAGAGGCAGAAAGAATAACGGATTCCAGTAACAGGCAGCCTAAGGGAGGAGCAATCTGCGTAACCCAGTTTGAGGAAGTGTCTTGTGTTTTTGGTTGAGTGTCTCAGCTTTGCTATCTGACCCTCACGTCCTGGGATGTCATGGGCTCCTTCACAAGGCTCAGTCCGAGCCAACAGCAAGGCATCTCTCTGCCTAGCTCATGCTTAGTAGTAGGGAGCTATAGGCGGAGCATCACTGACCTGTTGCATTGTTTCAAAGGCTGCGCATCAGCGCCTCCGCTACACCCTTTTGCATTGCTTAAAGCCAGCTGAGGAGGTAGAGTAATATCCTATCCAGCTCTGTATGTATCAATACACAGAAGTAGGGCAAGGTTTAGCTAAAATGGAGACAAATGGTCCTCTTTCAGGGAGAGCCATCCTAGTGGCCTTCCACAGATAACAATAATAGCTTTTACTGAGTCCATCTTGTGTGCCAAGTGCTGTTCTAAGTAATATGCAGGTCCTAGCTCACTTGATAAATGTTGCTTTTATAAATATCAAATGTGGTTGTTACTAACCACCACTGTAGTTTAGTTTATGAGTCTAAGTGTCAGCATAAACAAACATTTTGGGCTTCCAACATTGCTTCTACTTGTGCTGACTAAGTTTATGTTTCAGTTGGTGGAAAGAAAATCTGAGACCCTGACATCACAAGGGCTCATGAGTCAGAAGAGCTCCTCTTCTGGTGAAATAAGTGTCCACATTTTAAAAAATGACATCGTGCGTATAGCTGACAATGTTCTGTTTAAGAAATTCCATATAAGGAATTCTCCCCAAACTTATTTTCCTCTTAAAATAAAGGCAGAAAGTAAACACAGACTTATGTTATATCGTTTTTAAAAATCACATTTGTGCAAATGAAAGAGACACTGGTGCACTGATCAGATTTCTGGATTGAGCCATGAGGCTCGGACTCCAGGCCCCAAGGGCTGGAAAGAGGTCAAAGCTTCCATGAGGGTCCCTGTGATGACTGCCTGGTGGGTCAGCCTGGTCTTTACTGGAACTACATTGGTCCCTGGCAGGGACCTTGTGGGGACTGGACCCTCTCCCTGTGCCCCAAGGATTGTGAGTGTAAGTGATTACATGGCGAGCCACCTCACCGAACAGGGACTGTGCTTCAATTCCTGCTTAGAGATTAATGAGTCCAGCCCCCCTGGTGTAGTCAAGCAGAACATGGGGGCTCAGGACCGGAGCGTCATTGTCACAGGGTAGTTTGGGCTCTGAGAGGTGGCTCCACAGAGTTGATGGTGCAGATCCACAGGCAGAAGTCCAGCTGCTGCACCGAGGGACCGATCGTCACCAGCGGCCCAGTGCTGACTTGGCAGGTATGGGCGGGGACGGCCTCTGGCTGCCTGACTTTCTCAGCTGGGCTCTGGGGAGCTTTGAATACTAAAGTGTGGGGCACATGGTCTTCCCTCTTCCTTTTGCTGTTTTCTTGTGGGAATCCCACCCCTCTAAACCTCCTAACTTAGAATTTGCTGATTTTTTGGGTCGGTTTGGTCTCTCCTCATCCTTTGTGCTTTGGACTTGATGCGTATTTTCCTATAACTGTGTTTCTTTCTTAGTTTCATCACTACTTTATGTGTGTTCTGCCCCCTTAGGGAAGCCCCTGGGACTCTGCTACCCAGCAAGACTTCTGGATGGTGGCTCTACTCAGCTTGCCTCACTCCCACTCTTTCCAGTATTATTTTCCCTCTCCTATACCCCAAGCCCATATCTCAGCATCGTCTCTTAATAGGAGGCTGTTTCTGGGTGACCTTTCCCACCTGAGGCTGTTTCTGTTGTAGGTGGGGGTGGGTAATCCGTTTATAGATTTAGTGTGTGTGTGTGTGTGTGTGTGTGTGTGTGTGTGTGTATGTATGTATGTGCTTGTATTGCCTACCATAGCCTGGCACGCAAACAATAGCTAGATAATTCTAGAAATGGAGCAGCTTTCCCCATTTCCCTTCTCTTCTCCCTCATTCTCCGCTGTACGGTAGTGATGTCCTGTCCTTCTTTGCCGCACCCCTTGTCTAGACCTCACCCTTCTTTCCAGTCGGGTTAGAACCAGACCTTCCCTCCCCTAGTAGCAGAAGCTGTCTGATTGGCTGCCATCACCATGGCAACTCACTGTCCCGCTCCCCCTCCCTCACTTTCCAGAGCCAGCAGATCTGTGGAGTTCAGGCTCCTCTGGACTGGGAGGGACGACAGACTGGGGGAAGGGAGAGGGCTCTCTTGACAGCCAGGACAGCCCCACATTTGGGGCTTGCTTGGATTCCAGATGCTGCCTTCTGTGCAGTGTGGCTGCCGAGGGCAGGGCCTGAGAACATCTGGATGTGCTGCGAAGCCCTACAGGAAGGCAGGGTCATGGCTCATTCTGGCTACCACCAGGGAGCCTGACAGGCGATACGTGCACACAAGGGACCTTCTGTGGAACAACGCAGAGTGCCGGGCAGTGAGACGCCATCCTGTGGGTCCCTGCCAAGGGTGGGGCAGGGCAGGGGCTGTGACACAACTGTGACACAACACAACTGTGCTCTCGAGCACAGCCTGCACAGCGAATACATACCGTGGCTTCTACATGCATTGGTCACTACTTTTAGATGCTCATTAAGCTATCGTGATAAAAATAGTAATTTCAAAGCATGGGCAAAATTTAAGGTATCTCTATGTCCTTTATGCCTTTGTGTTCTCGTCAGCACAGTGTGTGTGGTGGAGGGTGAGAGTCTGTGACATTGACTGACATTGAATGAGCCTTAAAAAGGATGACAAGATGGAATTCTGAAGCATGTAACAATATGGGTGAAACTGGAAGACATTATGTCACAGGAAAGAAGTCCAACACTAAAAGACAAATATTGTGTTATATTTTAGATTTAAAATGTGCCATCAAAATCCCATGTGTTCAGACATGGGACTTTTGAAAGGAGATTGGATCATGAAGGGCATTCTGTCCATCAGGAGACTACTCCACTAATGAATTTCTAGCTAAATGTGCTGTTAGGAAGAGCGGCTGGGTAGAGGGATGTGCCTTTGAAGGGTACATCACACTCTGGCCCTTCCCACTCTCTCTGCTTCCTGGCTGCCATGGGGTGAGCAGTTTTCCCCTGACACACCCTTCTTCCATACCATTTCTGCCTTGGAGCCAGCCAGCTATGGACTGAACCCTCTAAAACCATGAACTGTAGTAATGTTCATGTTCCTCCTTTAAGTTGCAAATGTCAGGTATTTTGTCCTAGCTATGTGAAAATGACTAATAATACTGTATCACTCCACTTATATGACATGTTTAGAAGAGGTAAATTTATAAAGGTGAGAAGTAGCTAGAGGTTAGGAGGAAAGAGGAGTTTTTGTTTAATGGTTACAGATTTTTTTTAGAGGAGATGAAAACATTCCGGAGATGGATGGTGGCAATGATTGTATGACATCATGGTTGGATAGAGGACAACATACTTAAACTGGATAATGGGATACAGCTCAGTGGTAGACACCTAGCATGCCAAGCATGTGTTCCATCGACCCCCAGTACCACACATGCATATGATGTTTAAAATGGTAAATTTTATGTTATGCATGTTTTGCCATAATCACAGCCTCCCGAGAAAATGGAATGAATCAAGGCTGGGTGGTGGAGCGAGAAGCTGGTAAGCACAGAGAGGGGGCTTCAATCAGGTGGGGAGACCGGGAGGAGGGGGAATTTTGCTCCATAGGAGACCTCCTCCCTCAACTGCCACACCTCCCCTCTCCGGCCAGTGGGCTGAGGGTGAGCAGCTGGCTAAGGCCATATCAGGGCTTCCCTGATTCCCTGGGTGGGTGGGGACTAAAGAAGCCATGATGGATGACCCATCCCCTCTGCTCATGATTCTCCACTTTCAGGAACCACCCAGGAGGTGACCAGTCTGCTGTCCTACCTGTGGCTCTTTCTGACTGGCCCTGCCTGGCTAGGCTGGCTGTGGGGACAAACTAGAGCTGGGTGAATGCCACAGTAGAGATACGGTGACACCTGTGTGAGGGCGACCAGAGGGGACCTGAACTGTCCTGGGAACCCTGTGTGGAACCCTAATGGTTCTGGGGTCCCTGCAGTCCCTCCCTGCCCTCTAAATCGCTCTTCAACCCTTCCAGCCCTTCCCACAGAGCTAGAAACACACACTAAACCCTCTGCGAAGCTATTTTGAGGTTTCATCTGTTCTCTCTTATTGCTCCTCTAGATTCCATATTTTCCCTCCCCCAGATTTGAAAGAGCTAAAGATTCTCATAGTCATTCATCATTCCCTCAGCTTGCAAGCTGTGCCTTCACCCCCACCTTCATGGTACCACTCCCTCTTTCCGTCCTCCTCTCCACCCTCACCCTCTGCCTCTCCAGCAGGCTCTTTGTCTGACATCATCTTCCACTGCCTGGCCTGCTAAGAGTTACTCACTCAGGCAATCCCCGCTCCACCAGAGGAGACTGTCCAATTGCCAAGCAACCTACCGTTGGCCAATCAGGGAGCTCGGAGGTGATGTCATGGTGAGAGCCCAGCAGTGGTGCTGATGTTGAGAGAAGCCCAGGGTACCACTAATTGAGGGAGTGAGAAGAGAGCAGCTTGCTTCGAACCGGACTGCAGGTAAGTAGGAATGAGACGTAAATAACGGGAGGCTTTTTAAACAGAAGAGAGAAGCAAAACCGCAGTCACAGAGGGGAGAAGGGAAGTGTACAGAGCCTATTGTGTTACCTTTAGTTCCACTCAGTCAATTAAACTTTGTCAAACCCTGGGGGAAGGAGGGTGAGGCAGAAAGGATGGTGCTGGACAGAGGGGCGAGGGTGGGCTCCCGGTGGCACTTTTGTTCCAGAGCTATAAGAGGAGAATGGGTGGGAAGTATTGGAGGTGCATGGTGAGTTATTTCTGCATGAAGATGTTTTGTTGCTGAGGGAGAGGTTGGCTCAAGAGCTTGGAGGTGGACCTGACCTGAACCCCTTTTCAAGCTGGACTCTGCCCTGTGTTTGATATTTTCAGCTGTTCTTGTCACTCCTGTTTTTCTCTCACCTGCCTTTTCTTTCTCAGCCATCCCTCCACCACCTTACTTTTTTCTCTGGGTCCTAAGGATACAATGCGATTATCACCTATCACTGGCCCCGCCCTACCCTGAGGTTGACCTGATCCCACCTGCTGGGGCCCGAGGCTCTAAAGCTGAGGCTGCAGGAGCACAGAACGCCACACCCTGGTTGTGGGTGGGCTGAGGACAGCCCCTCTTCGCTCAGCCTGCTACCTTCGCCAGGAGTTTAGGCATTGTCCTTTTCTCATCCCAGGACCCAGGGCTTTGATGTCCACTGGGCAGTTCTGTCCCCACGTGGTGGTGCTGTCTTTGTTTTATTTCTTTCAGGAGGATACAGTCAGGGGTGGGGGAGCCTCATTGTCCCAACCCTGGGCAGGTCTCCAGGATGCCTTGAGGGTGGTGGTGGTGGTCGGACATGTTCAGGCTGCCAGTGTCTGAATAACCCAAGCAGGGATAACCCAGGTCCCAGGACCAAGAGAACATTAGCTGGGGGTGGCCAGAGGTGGCCTGCTGGAGTCCTGGGGGCTGGGTGGGTGCAAGAGGGAATGTGGGGGAATCTGTCTCCATGGAGGCTGAGCCCCTCGAGGGGGAGGAAAGCTCTCCAGGCGGTGCCAGGGGGAATGAGATCATACGTCAGCTGTGGAAATAATCGCGGTGCTGGAGTGGAGAGAAAGCAGAGGGGGCAGGTCTGAGCCACAGCTCCACAGAAGAGAGTGAGAGCCTCCCAGCACCCTGCCCTCCCTTCCAGCTTGCCCAAGCCCTCTCCCGGCTGCTAGGAACTGTGCTTCCACTCCCCGCTGAGCTGCTGAACCCCTGCCAGCTGGTCCCAGAACTGGAGTCACCCCAGCTCCTCCTAGCCTCACCTGGAACAGCTTTGCAGTGAACCCAGTGGGTCCCTCACGGAGCATGTGACCTGTGGGGAGTGTGAGTTTGCCATCACTAAAGGCTTTCAGGCAGGGGCATGATAACACCCAGCAGGGCGGCAGTCGAGGACATTTTGGCATTGCACTGGAGCTATATGTAGATTAGGGTTCTTCAAACTGTGGGCGGAGACCACTTAGATTGTGAAATCAATTATATGAATTGTAACTTTTTAAAAAAAAATAAAATGAGATAAGATAAATAGAAAAAATCAGAACACATTCTATATAATGGTTAAATTATATTTCGTGTACCTTTTTTAGTTACCTGTGTTCAGTAATGTGTATATTTGTGCGTATATGTAGATACCTGTATATATGTCCCTGCTGGAGCGTATGACATAAAGTATAGTTTTTACCATGGATCCCAGTCAAAAATGTTCAGAAACATTAGCTATGTGAACTCTACTTACCTCTCCCAAGCTTAAGGCTGTACTTCTATGGAAAAGTCTCATGGAACTTTTTTAATTCTTAATTTTTCACTGTGATACTATATACATATATATCATAAAATTTACAATCTTCGTTATTTTTTAAGTATACAACTCAGTGGTACTAAGATGTACATCTCTGTGTATCTAATGTTCATAAATCCTTTTTGTTACAAAACTGAAGGTCTGTACCCATTAAACTCCAACAGCCTATCTCCCTCCCCCAGCCCCCGAGACCTCTGTTCTTACTTCTGCCTCTATGAATCTGACTACTCCAGGTGCCTCTATCAGTGGGATTATATGGTGTTTGTCCCTTTGTGACTGGCTTGTGACACTTGGCATAATGTCCTCTAGGCTCATCTGTATTATAGACTGCAACGTCCCCACTACCAGGTGCAGAAGAGTATCCAAAAGTTACATTTAAATCCAAGTAACTTTTAAAATGGGAAACTGTTTAGTGAGATACTGTGTGCTAAAGAATCCGTGAAAGATAGAGAATTTGGTCTAGCATTATCCATCCTGAGTGTACTGCTTAATAGACGTACAGCAGTCCCCCTTACGCCCAGTTTGGTTTTGTTTCTGTTACCTGTGGTCAACTGCCTATGAAAATAGTAAATGGAGAATTCCAGAAATAAGCAATTCATGAGTTTTAAATAAATTTATCAGTATGTTATAATCATGATGTTTATTACTAGTTGCTGTTAATCTCTTGCTATGCTTAATTTATAACTTAAACCTTACCATTGGGATGTATAGGAGGAAACATAATATATACAGAATTCAGCGTGGTCTGGGGCTCAGGCATCTGTGGAACATCCTGGCTGAGAGGGGACTACTGGGTACCTCCTGCTGGGGGACAGGTAGTAGGAGGGTCACGCACTGTGCTTGGATAGCTGGTTTAATGTCTAGATTTCATTTTGGCTCAATAAAAGGAGCCAAAGGCCAAGCGAGGAGCCTGCCCTCTTCGGTTTTCCTAGGCCATTTAAACCCTTTGCATGACAGGAGGGAAGCAGACAGATTGACAGTATTTAAAACATAACAACAAAGACTGACAAACTAAAATCCAAGGAATAGCATAGCTCAACAGGCAAGAGGAACATGGAGAAAAGAAAATAAAGCAGGAGAGAGAGAGAGAGAGAGAGAGAGAGAGAGAGAGAGGGAGGGAGAGCAAGCATTAACCAACCATATTTAAAAATCAGGAAAACTCAGTTATTTTGTGTTCTAGGTCTTAGATACTAGGATATATAATTATCAAGATCATAACCAAAGAAAAGCTTAATTTTCCTAGGACCCCTAAGATTCTATCTTCTTTGTCATTTTGGTATCTTTGTGTGTGTGTGTGTGTGTGTGTGTGTGTGTGTGTGTGTGTGTGTGTGTGTTACTGGGGATGAACCCAGGCCCTTCACACTGAACTACATCTACAGCCTTTTATTACTGTTGTTATTTTGAGATCCCACTAACTTGGGCTTAAACTTGTGATCCTCTTGTCTCAGCCTCCAGTGAGCTGGTATTACAGGTGTGCACCATGCCTGGTTCCCTTTGGATACCTTTATATTATTCCCCCTTACCTGGAGACTCTCATTTGGAGATGGACTCTGTACAGATTTTAAAGTCATAGTGCAAAGAAATAGTACTTTTGTGGGGGGGGATATAGTAATTTAAGAGGAATTGTGACATCCAAATGTAAATTTATAGTGCTTGGTACAGAACCAAAGCCTCTTTTTTAAAAAATTTTTTTGACTAGAAAGATAAACATGTATCATGTAGTATTTGGTTTGCTCATTAAGTTTGCACTTGTTATGTTTAAATATGTGGTGGTCTGGGAAAGGTTGTTTCCTCTTTTTTTTTTTTTTCCTTTGGGAATGGGGTAAGCACCCCCATTCTCACTTGGTATTTTATAAAAGCATTTTTCTAGGTTCCTGCATTTCAAGCTCCAGTAGGCAGACAGGAAGACGTATACACAAAGCCTCCACACACATATGTTGCTCCCACCTTCCCCCTGCACACATACACGCACGGATCTATCCTTTTTCCCCAGCAAAGCCCAGCGCTCATTGGTCTTTCCCATCAATTAGAGCTGTGTCCCTCCCTTAAGGCCCTGCAGTTCCCAGTGGCTGGTGGGAGGGAGAAGATCCGATCAAAAGGGGGAGGAGCCTAGGGTGGCCAGCCTGATTTATGACAGGGCTCCGGCAGATGGAGAGTTTGGAGAACAGGCTGGAAAATATGAACCCAGAGGTCAGAGCTGAGCACAGACTCAGGAGGAAGGGGCGGGGCAGATTTCTATGTCTCAGTGGATCGTCTGGGGGCCTGTCAACAAATTCAGACCAAATAGGAAGGCAAGTTCAAGCTGAGCAGGGGGAATAGCTGGGCCCAGAGCAGCGCACTTCAGGCCAGTGCTGGAACACAGGCGCAGCCCAAGTACTGACCCTGGACAGAGCCGCCTGTCATCTGTACCTGCCATCGAGTCAGACACAACCGGATTCAAGAAGCGTATCGTGAGTCTTTCCTGGAGGGAAGAAGGAAATCACTCCAGGTTCTCTAGCCCACCAAAAAATTATCAAAATAAAAAGCTCAGGCACAAAAGGACCATGTTACCAATAATCATCATAAACAAAAAACACTAGCATTTAATTGTTGTCTAATTATAATCAATGCACATATAAGACTGTGTGCAAACATCAAATGTCTGGAGGCTAAGGAATATGTTTATTAAGCCCGTCACTGTATTCCCACTTCCATGCTGCCCACATACAGTAGTTTCTGAACAAATAATTGTTAAATAAAAAATGCATTGAAATCAGAAATGACAACCTAGAACTGAAAATCTGGTTCATTCTGACACAGCTCTGTTTGTAGAGAAAGGAAGCAAAATTTTGCTAAATCTCACACAGAGAGTCATTTTATATCATTTTATATAGTGAATATAATTTTAACTAAAAATAATTTTGACTTAAAGCTAAAATTAAAAAATAAAATGTAAAACTGAAAAAGCATCAAAGAAGAATGAAAGAACAAAGAGAGCAAGAGCAATGCTGCAAAAGATAAGGGTTCCTTTTTTAGTCCAGTTCAGTGAGGGCCGGAAAGCGTGACTCCGCTCTTTCTCTGAAAACTTAGGCAAAACGCTGGGTTTCCTGGACTCTGTTTCCTCATCTGGAAAAGATTAGGGAAAGAAACTCTAGAAATCTCCATGGCTTTGTCCATCTCTGGGACTGCAACATG